AGTCGTCATTGTTATCTTCTAAAACTACAGACAATCCGCTGACAGCTGTGGAGACGTGCGCCGGGCCTCGAATTTTGTGCACCCCTCCACTCCGGAAGGCGCTTCATACTTGAACATCTCCGCGGTCGCGTGCGCATATCCCGCGGAACTGCGCGTCTCATCCGCGCGCAGCGCTCAGGATCAACAGCAAAGCTGTGCCACGCAATCTTGTATCATGTCTCTCTGGACGGCTGAGTGTTGTCCCTCACTATGCATTCTAGACAGCCCCCGACCATGCCTGATTTCGTACGTGCCTAAGATTACCCCAAGCGTGTAGGTAACCTAAGCGAAGAGTATTGAGGTATATTCTTGTTGTATATTCCTCTTTTTGTATAAACTAAAAAATAACTTGTATTTGTGGTGAACCAGCCTATGTTCCAGGGTAAGGCATGTCACTCGGGGACATAGCCCCTGTGTTGAGCAGGGTATTGTTTAGGCACGAAATTATGCAACGTCACCAACGTGTGGAACGGAATTATTGTCACGGCAATATATATAGCCTTCCATCAGAATGGCTAATCGCACTTTGTTCTAGCCAATCGCAGAATAACGCTATCTCAATCCACCGTTTGACCAATCAGGAGTAACTGAGCCGTGATCGTATATAAGGGAGCTTCGCGATTTCTCTCCCTCTCTTGGCGCTCTCGATCTCTCGGTGGTACTCATCCCTGCCGTGCTTTAAGCCGGCTCTTTACTGTGTCACGTTCTTATTGTGTTATGAATCTACCTATCGTATAGAGCCGATCCGCGTATCAGGGTTCAACATTAACTTTGAATTAAGTGCTCTGACTATGCATTGTATGTGAGATCGTAATCTACATACTCGATCTCACGACCTCTACTGGCTCTAGCTCGCATAGTAACATTTCCCCTGGAATCGTAATTTATTTGATTTCTTTTCTGAATATTATGAAGTTTCTAGTTTTCCATTATGCACGATGCTTTGGTGAAATTGGAAGAGACATAGACGGAGTATAAAGCTAAATATAAACTCATACGCCTACGGCTCTATTAGTCTATGCTATAGAGTCTTTTTAAGTCAAGGCTTCACTCCCACATGCACGCGAACCCACTTTAAGAGGACACCAGTAGCATTGCACTCACATCATCATTATGCACCTGTTTGTTTATTGGGTTTATCCCTGAAGGCACTTACTACCTTGTCATTATATCCAGTGTAGTGGACACCGACAAGTACGAGAACATAACACATAACATACTCTCTGCTTTAGCTGAAGAAATAATGCACTAAAGTCTAAACGGATTAAATTTAATTAAATCGATTTATCATTCTTTTCCTAATATGTAAAACTCCGTGGGAGTGAGAAGCCCCCCCAGTATGACCGTTAGGGTCGTGTCTTGATCATAGCCAGGATATGCACGGTATCTGCGCATACGTCAAAATTATACCATGACGTCATATACCGTAACCATGCCAAGCCTTTTCATTGGTCCAGCATTCCACGTAGTACTGCTCATAGGGTCTATGTCCCCCAGGGTACTGCCGGAACGTACCCTGGGTACGGTCCGGTATACCGGAACGTTCACACAGTCACAGTGTAAACCGACCAGGCTCTCCGACTGTTACACGTCGTAGGACCTCTGGGACCTCTCGCCAACGTAGAAGCGAGAAGGGTAGCAATGTTATGCAGATCATCACTCTCCCGCTGTATACTCTGTGTGGATCATGTTTTCAGTCATATATATCCTTCAGTAGTCCATTCCTGTAAATTGTTTTCCGTCGCTTCCAGTGTTCAAAATTAGTGCCGACCCGGAGGCCCGAGGCCACCAAGTTTTTGCTTCGGCCACCAACTCTACGAAACTGCCGGTCCTCCTGACCAGCACTTTTTCCCCTCATATTACGCTGAAATACTACGGTTATTGCAACGGCAGTTTAGACAGACTTGTAAACGGGAGCACATTCTAATACGCGCCGTTCTTAAACGTAGACGGGGTGTCCAAAACATCTAGAGCGGAGGGCATGAACTCCCTCAGCGCATGATTCGCCACACGCATAAAACCTTGTGACAGTCAAAGAAATCGATTGCGGCATGTAGCGTAGCAGTGTTTTTATGACCTCATAACAATAAGTTCATATGTCGCACGGGTTATCGTGGGGAGTGAGGGCACGACCAGTGACTTTTTTTTACGCAGAAAGTGGACTATTTTTATTCAGTTAGATATCTAGAAGCAATGTAAACTGTATATACTTCTATTTCATCAGGATTCTAGGCACTTGTAACTTTGCGGATGTGCGGCAGCATTGATCTATGCATGGGGTACCGAGGACTGGGGAGGCAAAAAACGAAAGTAAAACCTTTCCCAGAAGCTCCCCCGACATTCCTAGAGTTGAAATATATTATTTGACCAACTCTAAAGGTAGGGGCACACGAGCGTATTTTTTCGCCCGGTTGCGGCGAATTTGAAAATCGCTCAAAAAATTCACTTGTGTGCCCGTTCACGTCGACGACGATTTCGTACGCCCGTAAGAATCGCCCGTATCAAAAATGTTAGATATTTTCGGCCGATTATTTACGCCGGCGGATTGATCTGCTGGCAAATTCGCTCGTCTGCCCGTGTCCGGCGTATTTTGTCGAGCGATCGATTTTTTTTAAACCAATCGGACGTGTTGTTGATATCATGTGATGTTAAAATGTCTGCCTCCAATACAGAAGTGTGGACTCGCGAAAAGGAAGACGAATTAGTAATTCTGTGGTCGGAAAGGCCATGCCTTTTTGATATTGCGATCCCTGAATACCGGGATCGTGTAGCGAAGGAGGTCGCTATTACAGAAATAGCGCTGAGACTTGCAATTTGATTTGTCCAACGAGCCCTTCTCCGTATTTTGTTTCTTTTTAGAAGCAAATAAATAGCACTAACAACAGCAACAACTTTTTTTCGGCGGGTTGCCATTTTGTACCGATCACATGATCGACGGAAAATTCCGTCGAGTGGCGTACGCTCTCAAATTTGCTACGTGTGCCCCTTCGTGATCGGGCGTATAAATTCGCTGGCGATTTTAATCGTTGCGATCGGGCGAAAAAATACGCTCGTGTGCCCCTAGCTTAAGTTACATGTATGCTGTTGATGCCAATGGTTATTTTTGTATACTATTTTGTTACTTACTGCTAGTAAATAAGCGGACCACCAACTTTTGTGCGGGACTAACAACTTTCGGAAGTTGGTGGTCCTGCTGTCCACTAGATTTTCAGCCAAAATTCGAACCCTGGTCGCTTCTCTTGTCCACATTGCTTCGCAAATTCTTCCAGACTGTTTTGTTGCAATGCCAATACTGGCAATAGTTTTATTCATGTAGTGTATGCTAGCAGTAGCACTGTTTACAATCACGTATATTAGTGATGTCACGATCATCGATTATAATTGATCATCGGTTGAACAGTGGCTCGAACCAAGCGCTTGGTTATCAAAATCCATAATCAATTTCATCTAAAAAAACAAAACAAGAAAACTTGCAAAAGTGATGAGAATCAGAGATATCATCGCTACTATACAAGTTATCCTTTATTCACATACATGTATTATACACACAGTAGTAAACAGTGCAAAACAAACAATAAACAGGGCTAAACAAGCACATACATGCACACACGTACATGCACACGACGTTACGCACACGCAGGCATTCAACACCCCGAGTAACGATTGTAACCGATCATGGTGTTACTTCGGTCCAACCGATGATCGATTACGAAATTACAACGATTGACAACACTAACGATATATATAATATATATATATATATATATATAGCATGCTTCCCAGTATAGTTTTCAACATACTTTATCTAACTACCACTGTGCACTGATATTTTGTTTAAATTGTTTTACCCATACATTGCGCTCAGCGAATTCATTTATTGAGCTCCGCTGCGGTACTGTGTGGAAAATACCCTGCGCTACCCTTACTACCATGCACAGATGAAGGATCTTCTGTACAAATGTATACAAATAATTTCAAAATTGTTTGTAAAAATATTCAGTTATTGTGACTTTCTTTGAGTGAGTTATTGATAAACAATGTCAGATCCAGGGGGCAGGAGGCACAACGCCCCCTATTTTTTGACCAGCCATTTACATACAAGTGGGTGGCCTTGTCGGTCTGCGCCCCCTTAATTTTTTTTATCAAAGCTAGACTCGGAATCGGACTCGGGTGGTGTGGAATCAGACTCGGACTCAGGTGGTGCAGACTCGGCCGTGGCCTCGGAGGCTATGGACTGGGACTCGGTCTTAGCCTCGGAGGCTGTGGACTCTACGACAACACTGGTACTAATGCGCGTACATATATACTGTTGCTCAATAGGTTGACTTCAACCCCGTATATTATCTGTTTATCAACAGTGTCTCGTCGTCGATCTCCACCGGACATGCTAGGCGTCTGAGGGTCAACCATGGCTGCTGATGACTTGTGCTGCGGACGGAGCATTCCCAAGTCCCGAGGTGTTTAGCAACCAAGCCTACACCAAGCCAAACTCCAGCGACAAGTTTCTCCGGACACCGTGCGTCGTTGGGAATGCCGCGAGAACTGTTAGTGTTACACTTTTATGTTTTATGCATTTCGGCAGTGATACCGCTCTTGCATGTGAAACAGTTCCGAGCCTCCAGCCTTTGTTAAAGTAATTATTACGAGAGTTTTCCAGTGTTTTCACCACTTTCATGATACCTACCGTTGCTTGAGTAGGCAACTCGTCTAGAGTAACGATAAAATGTCTAGAACCTTCGTATTCACCAAAAACATGCAATTTTCGAACTAGTTTGGTAAACAATTGTGTGCTGTAATCTTGAAACCGGTAGTCTTGGACTAGCTAGTAGCGCCGCAGCCTATCTGCCATAGACATAGTACAGTTTCTCTCAAATGCAGTTGTTGTCAATTTATCACCGACAATTTACAAGATTACCAATTCTGCCATTATCGCGACACGATAAAATGCATTGCTGTTACGATGTGTTCATATCCAATTTTCTATGCTATAACTGCATAAAATCTTGGTGTTTTATTAATGTTGGTGAAATCAGTGATATATCCACTGTGAGGTGAGACTATATTTCGCTATATTTTTTGGGGTTGAAGGTTTCTGAGCAAAACTCGTAATAACGGCTTTAAGTGAAATTGTACGTATTGCTCGGTTATGGCAGGATTCTGTCAGATAGCATGTGGTGTTTGATTGTCTAGACGTGATGCGGTCATGATGCCGAGGCGCGCCGAGGATTGACACTTTGTGTCTTCCAATCACAGCGTACGCCGCACCCTTCCGTTATAATTTCAAAGGTATTTAATTTAATTTAATTAAATCGATTTATCGTTCTTTTCCTAATATGTAAAACTCCGTGGGAGTGAGAAGCCCCCCCCAGTATGACCGTTAGGGTCGTGTCTAGATCATAGCCAGGATATGCACGGTATCTGCACATACGTCAAAATTATACCATGACGTCATATACCGTAACCATGCCAAGCCTTTTCATTGGTCCAGCATTCCACGTATTACTGCTCATAGGGTCTATGTCCCCCAGGGTACTGCCGGAACGTACCCTGGGTACGGTCCGGTATACCGGAACGTATACCGTAACGTACCCTGGTAACTATTTGATATGGTTACACCTACTCCTTAGACTCATTGATGGAGTAGGCGAGGTACGGTCCGGCATATTAGATAGTACCAGGGTACGTTTCGGAGATAGTGATCCGCTAGATGGCGCATTATTAGTGTGTTGTGTAGGGTCCCCAATATGGAAGACCTGAAACGACATCCGACTTTTTGAGTTTTCGAGTTTTCGAGTTTCTGAGTTTCCGAGTTTCTGAGTTTCTGAGTTTCCGCGTTTCTTCTGCGCATACACCAGAGACTAAACATCAGGTTTAGCGTCGTAAATTAACTTGCAAACGCCACCGCCAGATGGCGCTACG